GAGGATGCACCTTCTCACCAGTCTCTGAACAAGCTTCTTACTTTTTCCTCTCTGTTTGAAAATAGTAGCTTTTTAAAGGTAATATGTAAGACAATATAGCACTTTTTAATCATAGGTTTCTTCAGAGTGCAAATAGACATCAACAGCTCTGCGCTCCACACCGAAAAGTAAACAGACTCCAAAAGGAGAGAGCCAGGTAAAAGTAGTTACAATAATAGTAAAGTAGCCATAAATGAACATTATGGAAACTAAAGATTTCTAACTATTAAAAAGGCAAAATTCTGGAGCAGCTCTGCAGAGCTACTCAGACTAGAGAAAAGCTAAGTAAATGACCAAACAAAAGCTCAGTCAAACAAATGTTGGGCTACCAAAAAAGTTAACAAACCATAACCCTTAGTACCAGAGAGCTTATCCTTTTGTTTGGTATATTGACCTGTTTTGACCAACCTACTTTACTCTCCTTGGAAACAAGCAAAATCCTAGTTATTTCTCAATATTATTTGCTTTTCACTCATTTTCTTCTTTTTACTATAGGCAATAAAAATGCATAAATAAGTATTGCCATCGTCAGGTACAGGGATGGTGTTAAAAGTCAAGGTAATACAGAGTATGAACAATTTAAAAGACCTGTCAAGAAAAATCGTTCTTAGGAAAAGGAAGATGAGTATTGAAAAATAAAACGAAAACTTTTCTTTTTTATAAAGTTATATTGAAAACTGGTTTATTTTCCTTACTTTCTTCTTCTTGAAAATCTGTATGATGGGGGTCCTACTGAAAATTAACTACTGGAGAAGGGCTATTTTGATATGGAGTGAAATGTTCCCAATGCAGGAAGGTATTTCCCCAAGGAATGGCAATGCAGGAGACCTTGCCAAGACAGACAGAAGCGAGAAGTTTAGGGGTTTGCAATGTTTTGCTAACCAGAGAGTAACTTGAGGAATACCTACAGAGCAAGGCAGACAGATACAAAGAAAAGTCCTTGCCATTGGTATGATTCATGACCCTTGGGAGACAGAAAATATTATGTAGCAGGGAATGGCGTGCAATCCATAAATTTTCTGGTGCATAGGGTTCCTGCGTACAGTGTTTAAGCAGCGATAAGTTGGATGGTGGGAACAGAGCTGGAGAAGAGGTTGTTTTCAGTACTGCAGAGTATCTGAGAGAATGCTGGCTTGCTGAGTTTCTCAGCTAGTTCTTACAAACAGGAATTATTTTCCCATGTGTGCAGATTTTGGGCTCTTCTTTCCTCATGAAGACACAGATGTACATATCATCATTGAAAGGCAACCAAGGAACGTGAGGTGAGAAAAATACAGCTGATAACTTTTGGGTCTCTTCCCTTATTCTGTCAAAGGAAAATCTCACTCAGCCAAGAAAGGGAACTGATAAACCTTTGAGACAGCCTAATTCATTCAGCTCATCAAAAAGCAAAGAGATACACACACAGCCCCATTCATTCTGGTGCCCTTGCTGTACATTAATAAGAGATGTATTCACTTTTTCAGGGGCTCTCAGTACATCCTTTCATTTTGGACAGTGCCTCATTCACCTTCTCCTGAAGTGCTTCTTTCCAGTAACATCAATCTAGGAGGCCATCAGCCCTGCATACTTGATAATTTTCAATTAAAACAGTAACATCTGCATTGTATAGGAGGAAAAAATTCTGGGAGACAAAGGAGGACAATTTCTAAGTTTAGCTGTCAGAGGTGAATGTAACCTAATTTAAATGTGATGAAATTAGACCATTTGCCCTAATTTTCATGCATTTAGCATTATCTCAAGAATACTGATGAGGATAGAATGAACACCTGAGAGCAGCTGGCAGGCAGCATGGTCACTGTGCTGCAACACAGGTTTGATTTCAGATATTGTAAAGATAGAGTTATAAAACTGAGGGACAGAGGCAGGCTATCTGGCTCTCCAGCTTGTTTGGGAACAGGTGAATGCCAGTATCCTCCCTTCAAAATCACATTCTTCTTTTACTTCTGCTAGCCTGCCCTGTCTGTGTATTGAAATAAACTCACTACTGTTGTTTTTGGGGAGAGGGTTGCTCTTTGAAAGGTCTTGACAGAAAAATTTGGATTTGGGGAATTGTTTGCTTGCATTTTACTTTTTAACTAAATGGAGGTAGGAAGAGGAAAGCAATGCTCCTTAAGTCAGTCCATAAGTAGCAAAGACACTACTACTTCCATCTATTGGTAGAAAAGTAAAAATTATTTTACTTACTTTCCAAAGACAGGAATTACAAGAATTTCTAGTGCCATCTATGAGTGAACACAGAGAATTGCCAGTATTCCTATGCCTTATTTTACACACACACACACACACACACACACACACACACACACACACAAAGATATATAAAATACAGAAATCCACATTGCTTATCTTGCCATCTCTAAGTCCACACAAGATCTTTGTGAATAAAATCCTTTTGCAGCTATTTAATACACACACTTGAATAAATCCAGTTGGAGTTAGCAAAACTTTAAAATTTGTCCCTATAATCTAAAGTACCATCCAAACCAGCTGACATTCAATGTGCCATCACGATGCAAAGTCCTTAAAGGAAAGCTGAAAGGAGATACCTGAGCTCAAGTCTCTAAACTTCCTAAATGGCAGCAATCCAGGGTCAAAATCTGCATTTGACCCATACCACACTGAAGAGAAACATCTTCCCACCACCCCTGCTGTAGTTCAGGGTTTTTTTTTAATACATCCTAATTCAAAACCAGCTGAAAACAGTAAGATTCAAAATCCAGTTGTTGTCCTTCACTCACCCCTGAAAAGACAAGAACAATCCACCTGGAATTCCCCCTTGGCTCTTACTGGCAAGCAATTTAAAACCTCAGAATGATAATTATCTTTTTCTGATACTCTATAGGTTGAATTTAAAATGCTTTTGAATACTCATTATTAGAGACTGTCAGAAGCAGGGATGTGGGAAATCACATACTGTAATATTTCCTTTTTGGATGTTCCCAGATGTATCAATTTCAAAGAGTGTAACTTATGCCTGGGAGAGACTTTCTATTTTATTTCTCCTCACCATATCTCAGTCTATTTCCTGAGTTTTTTTTTCTCCAAAGAGGGCAGTAACAAAGAGAATTGTCAATCTAGAAAATAAAGAATGGTTATATTGGATTCCATGAGAGAAAACCATGGAGAAAAGGACTACAACATATCTTAAAAAACACATTACTTTCCCCTGGGGAAAAATTTAGGAGCTCACATTAAGGCAATGTTCATTTGCAGAACCTTCTTAACACAAATTTGCAACATAAAGTATTATAAAGGCTGTCATAAAAAGTGAAACACCAAGCAAATATGTCCTGGTATTTTTTCTATTATTGTTAAAGAAAGAAGAACAGAGCCCCTCACCAAGTAGAGCGCGTGAGATTAGCTCAGCGCCAGCGCTGCCTCTCAGCTCTCTGCAGGGACATTCCTTGTGCAGCAGCACAGGCAATGGGGATATTTCCATTGCAAGTTCTCACATCCACATTGCCCTAGGTCGAGTGATACCCTGGGTTTTCATATGGATATAGATAGCATCTCATTAGGCTGTGGAGAGATGTACACAGAAGTAAAAATTGCGATGCCTGCTCTGGTTATGAAGTTATTTTTAGTTTTAAGAGAATGTTCAAAGAAAAACCATGTGGAGTATGGCACAATGTCTACATCAAACAGTAAAAAAAGTGTATTATTTGTTTTGTACTTCCTTCAGTTTCTCTCAAAAGCAGAGGTCAAAGGAGACTTTCATTAGCTGGGGACTTGCATTTTCTTGGTATCAGGTTCATGGTAAAAATACAGCTAAATATGGATTACCAAAGAAATATTTAAACCAAAGAATGTCCCCCAGAAACAGAATCCCAGCAAGAAATACACATAATAATGCATTTCTCATCACTGGGAGGCATCAATGGAAAATGTGAGTGGAATAGAGGGGAGGGGGATGTTACATCCATTGTATTTTCATCTAAGTATTTTCCTCTGAATAAGAACATTTTATGTTAGTTTAAAGATTGCATCTGATTTATAGTAGACCTGACTGAACTAGGGACCATTTTCCAGAATCAAGCACAAAGGCAAGTTAAAAAATGGAACTCTAGAATTTTTAAATTAATACATTTTAGTTCAGAGAATGTGGAGGTACAAAAACATAAAAAGATATAAATTTCAAATGTCAGCAAATTACTAAGAAGGGCATGCTACAGCAGAGTTCTTGACTGACACCCTTGTTTCAAAGCAGGTGTAATTTAGTAAGTTTGTAAGGGTTCTACATGGGATTCTGGCACGACACTATGAAACACACTCCTTCAAATTCTGTGATGTATGTATGTTTCCAGAGTGTATGTACCTAGATTTTGCCTTTATTCCATCACATGGAAGATCAGCTGGGAGAATATGCAAGTACTACTGTCATTGGGCTTTCCACCCACACCCTGAGGCATAAAGTTCTTCTAACAAATCCATGTGTGTCAGTAATTAGAATATAACTGCAGATAAGTATCTCCCCTAGACAGAGACACTTTTGCATGCCTCATCTTCTTCTAAACCATTTATTAGGGTTAAGACAGCAAAAAAATTTGATTTCTTTACCCAGGATTTATCTGTTTTCACACCTCAAGAGTCTGTATAGATACACAGTGAGAAGCAATGGCACAACTGCTTGTAAATTTATCACAGGACACATTACTGCAATTTCAGCACATTTCCAAGCAATAATGATAAGTAGGTTTTTAACAAAGGTCCTTTATCTGATCTGGTTGCCTTGGGGAAGAAGGTCTTCCTCTAGTGAAAGAGAACAAGAAGAGCTTCAATTTTTTATTGCACATTACTAGGCTAACTATTTTTTTCTAAATTTTTATAAGCCTTCATTGGGGTTTTGTTTTTTGGTTTGTTTTTTTTTTGTAGGGTTTGGTTTGGATTTTTGTTTTAATTTCTCTTGGTGTTGGGATTTTTTGGGCAGGCTTAAGAGAAGAAGAAAGGATACGCTTTAGTACATTAAGAGAGATTTGGCTATGTGGTAATTTCAAGTTATAGTTAACATACAGCTCTTTGTGTGCATGTTAAACTGCATAAGTAAAACAACTGAGAAAACAGTTGATTAAAAAAAAAAAAATCAAAACAAACATATTTGACAAAAGCCAGGAAGGATCTTCAGAAGATACATTTGCAGGCAGTGGGCAGTGACAAACATGCACATTTCTTCATGGGAACTGAGCTCAGAAAATGCCCTTTGGTTTTGCCCTTGAAAGTAGTGCATCAAGGGAAGAAAATTTCAATTAACTAGAAAGCAGAAAGACAAGTTTTTAGAAAATTCTTCTGAGAGTTATGAAAATAGATCCTTATTTTTCTCTTTCTTATTACTACACACTGCCTGCATTGATGTAGATGTATAACAAAGTTGACCAGAAACACAAATCTCTATTAAAAGAAACCAGAAACACAAAGTAAATCAAATTAGCACCTTTTGCCAAAAACAAAGACATTAGGGGGCCAGTTTGTTTTGGTTTTCTCAATAAAAATATAATAGTCCTTTCATATTATTACCTGGGCATAAAATTTTTAAACATAAATTGTGAAAATGTATTCAAAAAGTAATGAAATAACCCCCAAACTTCACGGAGCAGGTTTCATACAAAAGGCCTTCTATGGAGTCAGATTGGTGAGCTTTTCTCCCTCCTTCATTTTAAAATAAAAAACCCTGACAAAACAAAAAGAAAATGAAAGAGAATTATTTCTCCCTCCAAATTTCTAGTTTAGATATCTATTTCATCCCCCTTCCCACTCAAATTCCTTGCTCAGCTTTACTTTTGACCTTTTATTTTTAAAACAAAGGGGGAAATAAGAAGAGAACTTGAAAATTCATGCAAAATAAGGCTACTTAATTTACTAACGCAAACATTCATATTTAGAATCCTGGAAGTTACCAGCATATCAATTTGTTCCTGACATTGAAGTTAGGATGTGAAAGAAGGGTACCTCTCCCACTTGCTTGAGATTCAAATGTCACACCTTTGCACACGTCCTTCCCCTTCTCAGGCTGAAAAGGATGAGCAAGAGTAGTCCTATGAGTCAGTGTCTTCCCTGGAGAACCTTCAACCACGGCATTATAAAGGTAGTAGTTTTGTTAATTCAATCACATGAGTGCTTGCCTTCAGCCACTAATGATGGTGGAATGAGTCATTCCTTTCACATTTTAGGAAACCCGCCTTTCACATCCTCAGTGGCATCAGGTTTTGGGGGGGAGTTTGACCAATTTGTACCAATTTCTCCCCAGTTTCATATCCTCGACTGCGCAGCAGGCTTGGCTCAGTCTCCTCCCACAGTGGAGAACACTTCAGCTGGCTCCTGTTCTTGGCATGGAATAATAACTGGTAAATCACTGGTGCCTGGGCAAAGGACCTGCTGGCTCTTCTGTGGTATTTCCATGGCCCAAAGCAGTTTGTGCGGCAAGGGCTGGAATACAGCAGTGGGGTACCCATGAGGGTATAGCTTGCTGACATACTTGTGCCATGAAAATCCTTAAAAGTTAAGGTCCTTACACTCATGTATAAATGGCAGAAATGGATGAAATAAAAGCCTGCTGGTATAAATCAGAATGATCTTTTTATTTTCACCAATATAGAGTTAACAATCATTTGCACTATTTGCAAAACTGGCCTCTCATGTGTAATGGATGACACAACTGAGGTGCTGGGGAGGAAGAATAGATATGTCCTCCCACTTCTTTATGAAGAAGCTCCATTCTTTAAAATGCTCAACAGATAGAGGTGACTCCTAAGAAGTCAGTATACATCATGTTCAAAGATCTCAGATATTCCACTGGTAGGTGATAATTTTATTTTATCTTCAGCTGTCAGTGTCTGTCAATTGTAATGCTAAGTAAGGTTGCATCACTTGCTTTCCTCGGGTGCAAGGAATGAGATGTTTTGCACAGGTCTGCACAAATTTTTTCTACAGGTTCTCCAGTAATTCTCAAGGTACACTTTGAATTTAAAAAGCTTTTCTACATCTAAGGACTAGGAGTGCGTTCCTCTTTGAAACAGGTTTGATTTATTCCCATGGCTGGTGCAGCCGAAAGAACAGAACCAGCAGCAAATAGCTACATCCAGCTCAATTTGTTGTATATTAAATGTTTGCTAGTTGTTTTCTCCCTGCAAACATATTCCAAACAGACAAAACTTTTTGGGAAATAAGCCTCTTAACTGCTAGTAAAGCACATAGAAGTTGGAGTTGGATCTGTCTGCCATGCATATCACCTCCAAACTGATTTTAAGACATTTCTGGCATTCCTGCAACAGAAACTAATGCTGGGATGACTTCTTGGAGTCACCACCCTCAAATGTTTCCTTTCTACAACCCTTTACTGTGACAAAACAGACAGCAAAATCTTTCATTTCAGCATCTTCTGGCTTCAGCACTGCTATCTCAGCAGTATGTGAAGACAAGATAAAAAAGCCAGCAGTGACTTTGCCTGTAGATGGGTCGGAGAAAATTTTCATGAAAACAACTTTCATTTCATCCGTAAGAGGAAGTTCAATGACTGCGGCACAGTCAGGTCCCAAGCAATTGTGCATGTGAGTAAACAGCTCAGATATTAATATACAGCAGAGATAAGCTGCGGAGTTTTTTTTTTTCCTTTTGTGCTTTTTGTTGCTGTTGTTGTTTCTTTGGGGTTTTTGTTTGTGGGTGGCTTTGTTTTGGGTTTTTTGTTTGGTTTTGGTTTTGTTTGTTTTTTGGTTTTGTGGGCTTTGGTTTGGTTTTGGTTTTCTGGCTGTTGTTGTTTAGTTTTTTTCCTTTAAGTTACTTTATACTTGGGATTTAGCTGGAAAAGGATTTGTGAATGTGTCTTTGCAGACACATGACACTGGTTGGGCTCCTGGTACAAGTACTTTTTTTTCCTGTGATTTAATCCTCATGAGGGGCAGCAAAATAATATTTAATATTTAGACTTTATAAGACCTGCCACCATCTTTTCCTGGCCCATCCATAAAAATTGGGGTACAACAACCAGCACTGCACTGAAGTAACACAGAGCAACACAGGACTGGTCCAGTCTTTCCCAAAGCAGCACAATGTAGATCAAAGAACTTCACAGAAAAGCCATGTTTCAACAGAGGTAAGTTTCATAAAACAAGCCTCAGACTGGATAAGCAAATGCCCAGCTCTTGATAGCCGAAGATGAAAAAATCAAAGACTCAGGGGCTGAGCCCTTGCTGAAGCCATGGTGCAGCTGTGCCCACACCACAACAGAAACCAGCTGAGGAGGACCCCAGCACTGGTGGGTGTCAGAGCTGCCCCTGAGCAGCCCTGTTGAACAGCCCGAGGGCAGCAGGGCTTTTAGGGGTGGAATGATGGTGGTGCAGATGGGTGAGCAATGTCTGCTTCCTGCCAGCCTCTGGCAGGCAGCTTGCAGTGATCCCCCAAACCCCAGGGCAGCTGCAATATCCAGAGGGCACTTGTTGGGGGGTTCTTCAGGGCATCTGCAGTGTAAGTGCCTTGTGCCCAGGACCTCATGTTCAAGGCATAGAATGGGCAGACTATCCATTGTTTTCTGCCTGTTTTAAGCCCTCTGAGAATCAGAAAGGGACACAGATCATTTCCACCAGGCCAACTGTGAGCAACTACATGTGTTTGGAAAGGGATTTCACACATGATTCTGCAGCAAGGATGACTTTGCCTGCTGTGCTATCCAACATGTGGGAGCAACCTCTGAAGAACCCATCTGTAAAAGTGGCAGCCTGTGTCAACCTCCTCACTCCTCCATGCCACAGCAGAACCATTGTGAGGATTGCCATTAGTTCAGGACAACATGCATTCATTGAGCATGCACGTACATTTGGCTTCAATCAGGAAGGGTATTTGCTTTATACCATACAGCTTTGTAACAATAATTTGTACAGGACCAACCTACCTGCAGTGAAAGGGATCTGGGAACGTGGAGATAAAGCTGATATGTCTCTTCTCAAAGACACAATATCTTAAGAATAACAAAAGTATATTTCTGGATCAGCGGAGTGGAGGTCGTAGACTGGAGTGTTTTCCATCTGCAAAGACTTCTTCGCCCACCAAAAAGGAGCCTTTTTATACCTGCATCCAAACACAAACAACAGAGCTGGGGAATTTTGACCTGAATGGATAGACATGTTGCCAGTATCTTCCCTATATTATTAAATGGCCAAGAATATTTTTCCTTATCCATTTCTAAATGTAGATAGAAAGCACGGTTCTGTCAGTGAAATTATTACAAAAAAATCATTCCTTGCATTACATGACTATCTTGCAGATATCTCTGCTACAGTCTTTTGCCATGTTTGATTAAGCATTCATAGCTAGTTCAAAAACTGTAGTAAGTTGCACAGTTACTAATTAATCAATATAAACACACTGCTGTGTCTTGAGTCCCTTAAGAGGAATGGAAGAAAAGAGATAGCAACTATTTTTGCATCACAGTGACTCAGGGGTACTGCTCTACGTGCTGAGCAGTTTGTATTTTCCAGAGAACATCCACACCTTTTCAATTCAACAGTAAACTCCAGAGAAGTGCTCCTTCAGTTGAGCACACACTCTACAAATTTCTCACATAAACGTGAGAGAAGATATTTAAGAGTCATACACCTAAAATGTACTTTGAATACTTGAAAAGGAGAGGTTCTGATGTGTGTCAAAATATGAACTATTCAGCCAGGAATTTTCAAAGTGAGACCTTAAATCTTACAAGTTTAGCATTTCCACATGGAAAAAGAAACACTAAAAGAAACTTGAAGACCACCAATAATGTGGGAAAAAATACCTCCGAGCCAGTGTGGACAAACTGCAGTGGCTCAAGGAAAAGAGACAAAGCCTTATTTGAAGAAAAGTCTTCATGTGTCAAGAAGAGAATAAATTTGGGCAGCAGAGGTACAACAACACTTTACTGCTGTGACTTCCAAAATGTGGGGAAATCACACAGGGGAGGCAAGCAGCAGGGGGTAGGGCAGGAGACACACACCTGTGTGGTGGATCTCTTTGCTGAGGAGGACCCTGGAGGGATTGCAGCCCATGGGTCAGCAGAAAAAAAATCTCTGCTATGGACCAGCCCAACCTCATGGGTCACCTGTCACCTCACTCAAAGGGACAGGGGGGGATTGAGAGTAACATGCAGGGAGGTAGGGACCAGGAAAGGTGGAGGAGAACTGTTGGATCAGTATGGGGAAAGGGGAAGAAAGACATTTCCTTCAGGGTTTGTTTTATTGATAAGCCCCTTATTTTTCCCCTCAATAGCCAAAGTAGATATTACAAGTTTTGGTTAATCGGAAATGAATTGAATTAAATTAAATTAATTAAATTAAAATCCCTGGGTCAACACTGCTTTGTTTGTGATGAGGGGTCTTAATTATTTGGCAATTTCACACAGGTCTGGGCTGCTTTTTTCATTTTTTCTTTTGTTTTGTTTTGTTTTGTTTTGTTTTGTTTTTTGCTATCACCACAATGTGCTGATAGGGGGGTATTTCTACTCTAGGCTAGGGATGCTCAGCATGAAACACGTGATGCCTATGGAAGGGGACAGCAGGACCATAAAAATGTTGGCACTTCCTGGCTATCACTTCTGAGCACACGCTGCTCTGTCCCTGCCCCAGTCCAGACCAACCAGGGGAAAAGTGGCTAAAGCTGCTGTGCTCCAGCCTGTTCCTGAAAACGGAGCGTGAAAGGAGGCTACCTCCCTTCTTACTTCACAGAGTCTTGCACCTGGCTGTGGACTTACCTGTGCGTAAACAGCAGCTTTTCTGGCTGCACCACCCGCACCTAGCGCGTGTGTATTTGGGAAATGCAGCCCCCTCGAGAGGCAGTCAGGAACCTTGCAGTCACCACAGGAGGCTGGGTGCATGTACAGCAGTGAGACCCACTGCAGCCCATGAGGAGTTGCACTGCTGTGAAGCTGCAAGTGACAAACCAAGTCATCATCCACATGATAAGGCCCAAAGGAACTTCTGCCTCCTAAAAGAAACTCTACTGCTTTTCACACACAAAACTGTCCTCTCCTGTCCATAAATCATCCTAGCTCAGGAGAAACTAATGCCTGCATAACAAAAGAATTACAGAGCTTTCCTTATGAGGTCAAGAGAGTCCAGAGCATTTCAATCAGCTCTTTGATATTTGCAATCTAGGCAAAGCCCCAGGATGCTGGTTTAAGGATTAGGAAAAAAAACAGAAATATTTCTTAAACTGGTTTTGAAATCTGCAAATGTTTTATGCAACAGGAAGCCCAGGCTCCAGGAACAAGGCAGTGCCAGCAGCCTGTTCAGCAGCACAGGAGATGGTGTCCACTTAAGAAATATTCGCATCTTTTGGGTGGGACCAGGGTTCAAGAATACAGAGGATAACAGAGCTGTGTGAGGCCTTCACAGTTTGGCATCAATACCTAAACACTGACTTAAAAATGAAGCTGTATTGGTCCCAATTAAACATTACATGAGTGCTTAAAATAAAAGCAGACAGGAGCACATCGAGCTCCATAAACAGTTCTCCACTGTTTGAAATTGAGCTCTATTTCCAAGATTTCCTGATGACACTGAGCTATTTTGGGTGCATCCAGAGGAAACTGGAGAAAGGTGGAAAACCAGACAATATATTGCCACATTAAAGGCATGCAGTTTGAGCTGCTTCCAAATTATACTGGGTACTGAATTGAGTACATAAATTCAGAAGAGATAACACTATATTTTAATAAAGAATTTAGTACCAATCTCTGGACAATCTGCCAGTGGCCAAAAAGTCCCCAAAAACCAAACCAAAACCAAAACCACACCAAAAACAAAACAACAAAAAAAAAACCTAAAAGGAAACAAAATGTTACAGAAGATAGAAAGGTTTTCAACTACCTCATCAGGCAAGTGAGCTAGTGTCTAGCTAATCATTCAAATTCTGTTTATCTTCTTTTGAGCAATATAGCTAATGCAGAATTTGAAGGTATCACAGGACAAGTGTGTGAGTTCCATAAGAGGTTGGGCTGATATAAATCACCTTTTTAAATAGGCTACTCTAGGACATGTGGCTTTATGTGCTGACCATATAAAAGAATAGCCTTGCTTCAGTGTGCTGGTTGTCAGCACACAACATAGGATTTTTAGATAAATCAAATTACATGACTAGTTGCAGCAAACTTTACACCCCTGCCCAGCAAAGCACTGAAATGCACCCTGCATTTCCGAGAAATGTAAAGCATCAATGCTGCCCAAAAAAGAGATGTGCGAAAGGTGCTTTTATGAAGAGATTTACTTTGTCATCTGTCACCCACAAAGGTAATGGCCAGAGGGAAGGTTCAGCCATTTGCCTGGTAAAGTCAAAGTCCTTAGGTCATCAGGGATATGGCAAAGCCTTTCAGGGAGGACCCCTCTTCAGGATAGGTTCCATTTGACATCTACATGGATGATTAAAAAAAATGAATAACATGTTCATGATGTTTACAGATGCTGATTAGTTAGAAAATGAAGCATTGAGCTAATATGCAGCTGAAAGGCAGTAATAAAATCAAGTAGTGGTGTATGAGGCATACACACAGAGTCAGCACACACACAAATTTATATGAGTGTGCATATCAGTTTCCAAATATAGTGAGAGAAATTATTTTCTGAATTACTGTTTTTATTGACATTGGACTTACTCTGCTGAATGGCTGAATGAAAACAATTTTCCGTCAAATGCAACCATCTAATATCTTTTACTGCTGTGTGCAATACTGTTGATCTAGTTATTTACTTCCACAAAGGTGATTTTGACCAGATTCCTGCTGATTTTTTTTATTCCTATCCTGTTTTATCTTTTGTATATCTGTGTTGTAAAAGAAACATGTGAAAGCATTTCAGGTAAAGTGCAAAAGGGAAGGGATAAAAGTACAAATTAAAACCTGTTAAATTTTACCTGAAAAAATAAAACTTTGGTTGAGATATATCCTGGACATGACCTTGTAATGAGAGGAGGAAGCAAAAGGGGTGTGATTCCTGCAGGTGAACAGCACTTGCAGTGACTGTTGGAGCTGGGCCTCTTTGCCAAACAAACACATTTTCAAGCCCTTTCAGGCCCTTTCCCTCTGACTGGATTCCAGATGGGGCTGCCCGCTGGATGTGGTAGCAGGGGGATGGCAGCCAAGACCTGAACATCTTCCCACCTGCTTAAGGCTGGCAGGATGTTTCTTTCCTCTGCAATTACTCTGTGACTTGTGAAAGAAAAGCTTTCCATATTTCACTTCTGAACACTGGGAGTCAGGGCCACTCGCAGTCAGTGCAAGGTCAAACCACTGAATTATTGCTCTTTTTCCATAGTTTCCTTCCTCTGGAAAAAATAGCTCTGCCCCTTTTCACAAACTTCTTGCAAATCCTGGGTTTGATTAGCACGGCCACTTTCATCTGCACAGGAGCAGGGATGAGGATGTGAGGCAACAGGGTCACCTGCAAGCAGCAGGGAGAAGTATCTGCAACACTGATCTGTGCTGTGCACTCTCACTGGCCACACATTTTACACTCTGATACCCTGGGCCAGGAAGGCCTCTGTAAGCTGAAAACATCTCATAGGTTTGAGTGGGGGCAGATTTTTAGCTCTTGAATATTAAGGCTAACTGGGTTTAGGGTTGGAGGGTTTTTCCCATTTTCACATATACCAATCTGATGAGGAGAAAAAAGAAAAACCCTCACATACACACGTGCACTCAGAATGGGTTGGACAAGTTGTTTCAAAGGGTTTATTTTCTTTGAATCTCTCTGCTTACAAATCCAGCCATGTATTCTGGGTTAGAGTTGCCCTGTGAAAAGTCATGTCCCAGTTTACTTGGGACAAACTAATCACTCAGTCCTGCTAGGGCTGGGGCAGAAGCTCCTGTGTGCTGCTGACTCATGCTTCTCCCCTGTCCGTCATCTCTGGCTGCTCCCCCAAGTGACCTCTGTGCAATACAGCTCTGGTGTGTCTCAGGAAAAGCAGGAAAAGAAGACGCAGCTCTGAAATACCCAGGTGACAAAGCCAGCTGATGTTGTATCCTGGGCAGCAGGTCAGACAGACTTAATAAAATGATACTGGTTTTGCTGGTGTGGCCTGTTCAGAGTCATTTAACATGCTGGTGGCCTATAGCCATCCTTTCCTACACCACAACTCTACTGTGCCATAAATGCAAAGAAGAGCCTGCAATTTCCCTGGCATAATTGCCACAAAAAAACCTCTTGGCCTAATGAAGTCATTCAGACTTTTATTAAATGGCATGTACAGCTTTACAAGAAACCCTGACAATCTGACTATAAGAGGCAGAATTAGTGTGACTTTGTTAGCCTATTTTCAATGTGTCACAGCAGCAGAAAGACATCAGCACAACACTCTTGTATCTCCTTGGGTGTCAAATCAAGAAGGGAACATAAAAGCACACACCACCCTCCATTTACAAAGAGAGCTTTGATAGCATCTGTGTCTCACAAATAGTTTCAGACTGTGGCAGGCAAAATCCCCAATCTTTGCTGTGACAGTAGGAGTTAGTGCAGGAAAGCCTTTGTATCCATCTTCAAGGCCTGACCTTTCTGGCTGCTGGTGGAAGAGCAGACACAAGGTGAATGAATGGGCACGAGCTTTGGGGAAACTCCACCTCAGCCAGGAGGAGTCCCAGCCCTCCATCCCTGCCCACCTGCCTTCCCCTCACACCCAGCCAGGGGCCCTGTCCAGGAGGCTCTCTGCCCAGCTTCCAGGCATTGCTGGCTACTGACTTTGCTGCTTTTTTGGGGTAACCAAGCAAACTGCAGCAGTGCAGGACATGTCCATCAGCCCTTCCACCAGCAGCCACAGCATGGTATCTTACTGCAAGTCTTGTGTGCTGCTGTGGCAGACACTGAATAGCTGCCTGCTCCAAGAGAAAGGAAGTTGTGCTTGTGTGAACCAATTTAAATTCAAGTGTTCAAACCCAAGTCCAGTAGCTCATTTATGATACAATACCAAGATGTCTCACAGGAATTAATGCTTCACTCTCCTCGGCACAGCCCAGAATGCAGTGCATCTCTCCTGGTGCAGCAAGAGTTTCACTGTGGCAGCTGCAGCATTGCAGAACATCCCTTTGCACAAATGGTTTGGTTTTGTCTTGCCACATAAACAACAGCAGTCCAGGAGCTATATCTCCTATATATCTCCTATGACCACTGAAAAAAAACAGCTGTGTTGTTCATGAGTAAAACCACTGAAAGAAGCATTTTATGGCTAATTTGTAACACACTCAAAGTCCTTGTCTGCTTTGGAATTTATAGGTCTTAACCACTGCTTGAACTCTTTATGGACCTGAGAGATGCACAAGACCCCAGCAATGTGGTCATTCCCTACCTCTCATAGTTGTGACATGCTTCATTTCCATCTTTCATTCTGCAGGGACTATTACAATCCATGCACCTCATTTGCATTAGCTTCATCAGACTTTGTGGAATTTAGTCAGCTAAATATCAAATCCCGCTCTTGCAATTCTGCTTACCTAGAAGAAATGAAGCTGAATGAATTGAGGAAAAGTAATTAGCTTACATTGTTCTAATACAAAATATTTGAAGCTTATCTGGGATCCAATATCTGGGTTACTACGTTGGTATTTAGAATATTGTGAATGTTGGGTATTGGGTGCCCCAGTAAAACCCTTAAGAGGAGAAGTTGTGACTGCTGCTTGTTTTCAGCTGTGTGGCATCTGAGGTTTGCAGCACACCCTGGATATTCTCAGTAACTCTGAGATCCCAGAGTCCAGATGCAGCAGTTCCTACATGCAAGAGACACAAAAGATAAGCATGCTGGACAACAGCTGGCCAGATGCATGATTTTCCAGAAATCATGGAAATTGTTATTCTTTAAGAGGACTTGATGAGACTCATACCATTCACAACCCAGAGTCTTGCTCCAGCCCCTAGAGCAGGCCACACAGTCAGGGTCCTGGCCATTTTTCTGACACTGCTGTTGAACCAGTCCTGGATGAATCAGTCAGCATCATCTCTGCTGCTCCAATGTCCTACAAAACAGATGGTGACTGTGCTTTTTCCACAGCATTGGGAGACAGAAGGGATATTATCATGTCTTTCTAGGACCAAAACTCAGATTAAAAAAAAATTAAATTTCTCTTTAAAGATTTACTAGTGGAGATTTTGTTCTAAGTAACGGAAAATATCTGATCAAACATAATACTCTTCTGCAAATATTAGGCTACCAAGGCAAAGAGAGCAAAGAGTGAAACTGCTCATTTTTTGAGATTCTGCCTTCTTGTGGAGCAAGAAACTCTGAAGACTGTTTAATTTCAATTTCCCCATCAGTAAAAGCATGTTCAAATAAAGCCCAGGTCACATATATCTTTGCACTTACAAATCTGTACAAGTTATGTGCAAATGTGACACACACAGACCTATGCTATTATTTTAACTGTGAGTCATAGAAAAAAGGAATATAACAGCCAGCACCAGGACAGCTGAATGAATTTTCATCAACCTCCTTGATAGTGATGTGATAAACTGTCATCAGGAATTCCTCCTGTTGCCAAAGAAAGTCCCATGACCCGTCAGAGCAGTAGGAACCCCTGGTAGAGCCCCTGCCAGGTCTCAGTATAGGCACTGCAAGTCCTTGGTCATGCTTGATGAAGGCAGATTGCACATGAAGCGTGGGCTTCATCAGATGATCACTGAAACCAGATTTGCTCCTTGGAAAACATGCACACATTCCCACAGTCCCAGGAAAGAGTGGGCTGCCAAAATAAAATTGCCTCAGCTGACCTGGCCTAGCTTTTTCCTAGCAGAAAATACATATTGAAGATCTCTTAGGCTAATCTGCCAACTTCTGCAAAGACCTCATGGCCTGTCCTCATCTAAGTCATTGAATGAGCTCGTAATTGCCCTCCCACAAATGCTGAGGGTGAGCAGCCAAGATGATTTTACCCACCTGTATTCCTGCAAAAGTTGACCACAGTGTCGAGCTAACAGCCTGTTAGTGGGAGTTCCACGAGAAACCAGTGAAGCTGCTCAACGCTTAAACTTTGTTGTCTCAAGGCTTCTTCCTCGGTCATGAATCCTATCACACTTACAGTGTCACTGACTCATAAGTCAGGAGGTGAAGTGCATCTGCCTGCTGGGGAATTGGTAGGAGAAATAAAGGCTTTCCTTCAAGCATAGCTAATGCCAAGCTTTTTATGCAAAGTTGCAGCTTGCAGTGTGCTGACCACACTGCCCTTATAGGCATAGAGAAATCAGGCAGCAAAAAGCAGTAAAGTGGTTATATGGTTTGCCAGAAAACCTTAAAAAAAAAAAAAAAGGGAAGAAACTTTTAAAGCACCTGGATTTAGTCACAATTTTGCCTCGGAACAGTGTGGTAACCTTCCTTTCCAGAGAAGGTATTATCTTGAGCTTTGGGAGGTGAATTCTGATGCAGGCTCTTTCATAACATTCATGATTGGTTGCCTCTCCCTAGAAATAGCATTAGACCATCCAGAGCAGGCACTCTGTTTGAGCCAAGACATTGTAAAGAGATCTCTTTACAACGAGGCCAGTTTCTGGTGGGAACCCCAGAGTGCCTGGGAATACAGATACCAGCTTGTCCTTCTTGGTTCCTCCTCATCTGCAGGGAGCAGGTTGGTGATTAGGCTGGGATCTGCCATGGTCCTTGCTGTGCCTTGTCTATAGGGATATCACTAGGTGGCCCTGTTAGTTTGTCTATTTCTAATGAGCAAGTTTTTAATCTTCAAAAAAATATTGTATTACTAGGGATTAGAACTTTAGAACTTTTTAATAATTTTTTCTGTTTTTTTTTTTAATAAAATATTCTCATTTTGAAAGAAATCATTTCATGATTGTGGGAACTTGCTGGGAAGTTTATTCCCTGTATTTTGACAGAAGCCTTTCAAAACTGTGGGCTCAAAGAAATGAAATTTCTTTCAGAATAGGTTTCTTTGTACACAGTTTGAGATGACCTTGGCTCTAAAGTTAGTAAATGCATATAAATAAAAGAAGATTGCCTTTGAGCAGCTGATGATCTGGTATGCTTCAGTAGAAAGGTAAACCAGAGGTTTGCTACACTTTGGCTCAGGGCCAGGAGGAAAAGGACAAAGTTGTTTTTTTTTTTCAAGTGGAACAGCTGACACATTTGCTAGGACCCCTCACATTTACCTGGGGCTGCACAAGGACAATGCATCAGCTTTTCAATCCTGTAATGTGTTACTTGTCCTCTAAAAGGTTATTTGTGCTTCTGTGAAAGGCCATTGCAACATTCAGCTTTTCATCACAATCCTCTCCAATTAGAAAAAACCAAGAGTATTTATACAGTGAAGCTTGAAACCACTTGTACAGCTGCAGCACGAAGGCAACTTGGGAGTGAAAGAGTTTGTAACTACAAAAAAATCCCATGACCACATTTCCCAGCACTGAGGATCCGAGGCTCTTTGTTTCATTCCTTGTACAGCTGCTTGGCTAGTCAGCATTGAGAATTTTAAGGAGAGCGCAGAGTATCAGCACATTGGGTGGAACTTCTTTTGTGTCTGCTGAGAGAAGGGAGACTTAAAAGGTCAGAAAAGAAGAAATTGCTCCTCCCAGTGCCTGGGAGAAATAATGGGAGCAGAGAATGTGCAGCGTGGAAGAGAATGATGCAAGCCCCTAAAAGTTATTTTTGAGTTATTGGTGAGTTATTTCCAGCTAGCAACCACCTCTGCTACAAAAGAGAGGTTGGTGCTCCACCAGTTAAGGAAAACTCAAAGACCAGTTTGGCTCTTCAGCAGTGAGCTGACCTTGCAGTCTGAACATTTGATAACTGCTGTTCATGCTCCAAAGACCAGCTGCCACCACAAAAGTCACGGAGATGAGAAAAAAGACAGCAAGCAAATAAGCCCACACCAATTTATTCACCAGACTAAACAGAGAAAATCTTCATCCGCAGCTAGTGTCAGTAGAGAGGGGAGGGAACAGAATATTTGTCCAGCTGGCACATTATAACAGAAAAACTGCACTTTAAAATGCTCACTGTCTTTACACAGGATAAAATAGCAAGGGGTGGGTTTTCTCCACTAGCATCAAGTCAGAATTAAGTCAGTGATATCTGCCAATGTCAGTGGAGGGAAATCTATCCTGGATACTGCAGAAATGATGGTGATTGCTCTTTGTGTATCAAAACAACATCAGCCCCAGTAAGACAATAAAGCCCAGGTTCTCAAAGCAGAATATTTCTGTTCTGAACAACCTGACTAACAAAAACATGGAAGGTCTGGCTTAGGACTCAAAAAGACTCCTCCTCTTTTTTGAAGCCATTTGACTTCCATGGTGCTGGGATTTCTCTGGGAATTTGCTGTGAGGCTGTTAGGAAGACTCATGCTACATGTAAGATTAGGCATCCTCTGGGATCCCTTCCTTTCCTAAGGCCACAGCTTCCATCCAAAGAGCTTTAGGAGGAATCCATGACTACCTTGCTGATTACAGCTAGCCAGTTGCAGGGCTTTCCAGGGCTCATTTGCTTGTTCTAACTTTGCACTTGAATAAACTAAGCCATCACATTTAGTGGCAGAGACCACACAACATCTGTAAAACCTGCTGACTGAGCTGGGAAACCCCTTTGCTTACCCATGGCTGCAAGGAAGGCTTTGCAATTAGAAATGGCAAGGCAATTTGGCACAAGAGACATTTCCCACTCAGAAATTCTCATGATTACATGGGATCAAGTGGTGTGTCCAGCCATACACAGCCAAACAAGGGATGGTGACAGAGTTCTCTTTCAAGCGCTACAGATGCCAGCAGGTTTAGAGCTGTAAGCTCTAGAGGGACATGTCACCTTTCAGCCACTGTTCTTAAACTTGAGAATGTGTCCCGTTAGTACCAAAATGTTACATGCAGCAGAAATAGAAATTAAAGAATACTTAATGCAGGAAAACCTCCTAGAGAAGAGGTTTCTGCTGCCTGCATCCCTTTCTTCAATAGTGGCAACTCTCATCCTAAGAATAAATTATCCTCATATTTCTAAGAGGCAAGCAACAAGGATTTTTCACATATCTCCCAGCCTTGCCTTCTCCATACAACAGTTGTTTTCAATTACAGCCAGTTTCCATCAACATCTCTCACTCTCCTTGTTTGCAGGAGACAAGTTAGATACTGACTTTGTATTTTCACCTTAGTTATTCTCTGGGCTGTGGAGGAGGAAAGGGAAAGAAAGAGAAAGTGAATGTAAGCAAATATCAAGAACCTGCCTTAGATAAAATATTCAAATCTTACAGTGAATAATACATGGGAATGGAAAACATTTTTCCAGCTACGTGCAAGCCCAGTGCACTGTAGCAGAGACCGTACCAACTTGGTTAGCAGCACCTTACGGAGGAACCAAAGGAGGCAAAACATTTTGCATAGCTTCTGTTGTTAACTAAATTCCCCCTCCACACTGCAGCAGCAGACCCAGACACAGGCCATGCATACACTCACACATACACACACATTCTTTACACTTCTGCTCCAGCAGCATGGGTGCAGCGCTCACGTGCAGCAAAACAGCAGTAGAACTCGGTCAGAGGTTTCAGCTGGAGGCTGGGCTGCTCTGTGCTGCTGATCAGCAGGGACTGTCCCCAGGATGATTAATAGAGGTTTGCTTTGCAGCTGCTGTATCACCAGCGCTCTGCACTCCTGCATGCCCCCCCTCCACTTTCCTGGTGGCCATAGCAACATCCCCAGCACTGCCTGCAGTGCCAGCTCTTCCCTCCCTTCAAGCAGCCTCCGCTCCAGGAAATGATCCTCGTGAGCAGCAAACCTGTGCTCTCCACACTTACAGGCTTTTAAATCTGAGACCATTTCCCAGCAGGATTCTGCCCTTCGCCAGGTGCCAGTGGCCCTGCTCACGCCCTGCCTTCCCCTGCCCATCCCACCACTGACTGCTGCTGAGGAGCTTCCCAGGAGTGAAACACCACAGACACCAGGCTCAAAGCACAGCTGCTTTACCTGCTGGCAGCATTTCATGGGCACCCTTTTGGAGCCACTTCTGCCCTTCAGAGAGAGGATGAGCCTGGCCTTGCTGCTGCTCTGCTTGGTACACTGGCCCAGAGTGTCTTGCCTCTCCTTTCTTTGTTCTTCTCTAACCAGAGGGCTGGCTGGATTAAATCCTGGCAAGTCCCTTTGTAAGGGCTGCTGAATCCACCTGGGCACCAGTTGTAGCTGGGAAAATGTCATCCCACGCCACTGGATGGGAAAATGCTAATCTAAGGACGTATTGTAGCCTGGGTTGCCTGAGCATCCATTTTATGGGTGCCACACTGCTGTGGGAGCTGCTCATCTCCCTGCTCTGACAAGTTGCAGATGTTTTCTTCTGTGTTATTTTAGTTTCAGGCACAAAGTGCACAGAGGCTGGAAAATAAGTTCCCCTAAGTGATTTTGTGAACCCCCCTGCTGCCTCAGGATACACATGCACCCCTGCTGTCTCAAGGTACTGTGTACATCTAGAAACCACAGAAAGGAAAGGGGGAAGGAGAGGGAACACAGAGGCTCTCAATTCCCACTCCCAGGCTCTGGGGAGCAACTCAGCACTTGTATAAATGAAGGGAGAAGGGCCTGCACTGCTCAGCAGTCAATTCAGGTAATGGCAATGCCAGGCTGAAACTGCTGCTCTGGATCAGCTCTATTCACAGCATCCCTCTTTCCAATTGCTGTTCGCACAACTGTTGCAACAGGCTTAGCTTTCAAAGCACTTCTGCTGTTTAAAAAAACAAAAAAACACAGACTGTCTCTGAGGCTTCCAGAAGCATACACACAGCTAGAAGGAAAGATTTTGTTTATGTTTTAAGCCCTTCACCGCTTTAAGACATAATTCATTTATGCAAGGAGCTAAAAATGTTACTTATTGGAGGCCAGCAGATTTCCAGACAGAACTAATCATCATTAGCCTTTCTGATTACTAAGTAAACAACCTGCTTAAGTATTGATCATTAATCTATGATATAGCTTGGATTTATCTTAACTTTGCACATTAATGTCAGCTGCTGTGAGATGCAAATACAATAGAGTCACTTTCCAATTTCTTGTCAGAATATTGTACATGTGCTACTGCAGTATCCCAGCCTCAGATATTGCATTTCTCCCCTGAGGTCCAAAAACCAAGAATTTCAAGAGGGCAGCAAATGAATTTTTAGCCTGAGGGAAAATGTTTGATGAAAAAAAGTTCCACTGTTAATAGTTTTCATGGAAAATGAGATGAAAGTGGGGTTGAAAAAAAAAAACTACCAGAGTGATTTTAGCTGTAAGTGCCACTGAGGGCCTGATAAAAGCTGTACCTTTCCATTTTTTAGACTAATCTCTCTTGCACACTAGGTCTCCCACTCAGGCTTACACAAAGTATTTCTCACTAGGTATAAGGTAGGAGGAAGACTGCTGCTCCCCGTGGGCAATGTCAGGGAAAGATAGCCTGCCTGGTAAAAGCTAAAATATAATTCAGGAAGCATTATGATATCTGGATTGACTAAAAATCATTATTTTTATTGGCAGTATTCTTTCTCATGGTGAGAAGTTCTTTACTCCTGTGAATAGCTAGCACTTTCCACAATAACTGTGAAAGCCCAACTTACCCAGCAGAAATGTTGATGGAAATCACTTTGGTCAGCTTTCAGAACACCATCTTGTACTTTGAAAACAGCAAGCAAAGTAGTCTTTCTGTTTTATCCATCAGGAATTGATGGCAGAGAGGCCAGGTGGATTGGACAGCAAGTGGGTTTTAGTGCACAGAGCTGCTGCTCAGCTCATGGCTTCATCATCAGTTGAGGGAAAAGATGTATTGGAACATTAAACAACCACTGAAGGCATTACCACATTGTCCCCTTGAAAGTGATGGTGACTACAGAATCCCATCTTTATTGTTCTTGGATTCATTATGAAAGTAAACTGATGTGCAAAAAAACCCCAGCTACAAACCACATATAAAATCCAAGCAGTCCTAAAGTGCCAAGAGATTTCGTAGGAGCCCCTGGTGAGGCAGGATGCAGCTGAGGTAAACTGCTTCTCCAGCCTCCTAATTGCCTTGATCCATTTTCAAGGAAGAGAATAAAATGTCACGATGACATATTTCGCTTGAGTTAATCAATGCTGTAGGCTGCAAAGCAAAAGAAAACAGCCCCATTAATTCACACAATAACCTTCTTCTGGAACCTTTTGGGACTTAATGCTTAGCTGGTGCTAAACAGAGGAGGTTAAGTAACAAAAATGCAGATTTGCTTCTCAGCTCTGATGGGCAGCCTTCGGAGCAGGCACAGCTAGAAGACAAATGCTGTGGCATGATCCAGACCAGACACAGCAGCTCCCTCTGGCTTCTGTGCCAGCTGCACCACCAGTGCTTGCATCAGTCACTGCTGGGCTTCCTCCTCCAGCATCAGCAAGCCGCAGCAGCAGACATGGTCTGAGGAGCAAGGGAGCCTCCTGAGGAGCCTGCACTGAGCTGAAGCTGGAGCAGCATTAGGGCCCAGGACAGCTGGAAGGCTCAAGTGGTGAGCAGGACACGTCCAGCAGTTTCCTATGTGCTTCTTCATAGGCCTGCGTGAATGAGCCACGTCAGAGGTCTTGGCGTGGGCTGGTTTTGTTAGTTAATTTGTTTGCAGGTTTGGACTTCTTTTGTTAAATATGAACAGAGGTTAGGGTTATTCAGGGAGGATGCCCTGTCCCTTCTTTACCAAAACTATCCTCTTGCTCTGACACAAGAATACTTTCCCTGCCTCGCTGCCACACTCGGAGACTTCTCCCATCTCTTTGTATCAGGCTCCCTCTGTGCTCCATTAGCATGTGTGCACCAAGAGTGCAAAGAAAGCCAACAGCTTTCCTAGGATACTTTTCAACAAAAATGACTCATTTTTTAGCAAAACATACTAACTTACTACTACTACTTACTAGTTTAATTCATTTTAAAAATAAAAACACCCTGAGGAAAGCTTCCCTTTAAAAAGTAAACAGACCAATAATAAAGGAGTTAAAGCAATTGACTTCAAAGCAATTGGAATTCCAAAAGCTTGATAGGTGACACCTGTGGCTGGACTATTATGGAATAAGTTTATAGCTGTTTAGAAAGGGCAAGCAAGAGTAAAATAATTAGTTTGGTATGTCAATGAATAATTTTTAAATATATCTATATGTGTTGTTTTTAGTTTGACAGGACACACGATAAACCTAGAAGTCTCTACTTATTAAGGAAAATAAAAGAAGCAGCCTGGAACACACAAGAGGTCTGCTACACGTCATCTAACAAGCAGCATTAGGTAGAGAGTTTTAATTTATTTTCTAAAAAAAAACCAATAGCTAATTGGCTGAAGACTTTGGTAGCCTTCTCCCTTCTCAACACAAAGCAATGAAACAGGCAAGTGATTCAAGAGCCTCTTGGGATATGACGGGAATGATTTTCTGCAAAGTTAAAGGGAAGAAGGAGGTTCAGAGGATAGGTAGCTCTCTGAAGAAACAGTATTAAAAGCACACACACACACACACACACACACTCTGCCAGTGCGGAGGAAGCATAGCAGGAGAGCAACTTGGCTCTGCTAGGAGCTATGAAACAGCCTGAGACTTGAGAAGAATAGAAATATAGGACATAGGGGAAGCTATTCAGGAGAAGCATGACAGACGAGCATGAATTTATGAGGGTAAAATCAAAGGCCAAAGACACAGAACAGGCCCAGAAAACAGCAACATCATGAGGAAAGTATGTAAATTAATACATTAGCAAGGAAATAGAGATCACTACTCAGTGGGAATGGAGCAATGCATTCTACTTTGCACTGAAAAGATCACGGTTAGGAGTGGATGGGCAGAAGAATAACACCCAGGAAAAGGGTAAAAAAGCCAAGATGATACCAGAAGAAAAAAAGCCAAGATGATACCAGAAGAAAAAAAGCCATAGGGTATTCTGGTAAGGTAGAAAATGCCTGAAAGCTTGTTTAACTGATTAGACCTGAGGAAATGTACCCAGATTGCTCATCAGTCTATGGGAGAACATGTCAGAATGACCAGAAATTTTTGTTGAGCACTTGGAGAAAAAATGGCACTTGGTAATGGAAAACAGAAGAACAAAATGGTCCTTAAAAAATTTGTAAAAAAGTGGTAACAGAGCAAGTGGTCAAGTGGTTTCAATTGCAACTCCTAGAAAGGCACTGGAATAAATGATCTAATTATATGTGAACATGCAGTAAGCAAACATGTTACAAGGAACCAACATCTCCAATTCATTAATAAATCCCACATCAAATCAATCTAGTTTTTAATGCATTGCCATACCAGAATATAAAATCTGACAAAGGCTTGTGGGCATGATTTGGGGATTTTTTTTGTGATCCCCTCTCCATCATTTTGTGTTTGAACTGGGCTTTTTTTTTCCCACATCCAGCTAGGTTTGGAAAGGATAAAAAACTGGCTGGTGAGTGAAAGAGAGGAACCTCGGGGGACTTTGGTAATACAGGAGCTTAATAATGTGCCATGAAATTAGATATCTTTAAATGTTTCTCTTTATTTGTATGTATTACAGTCACTGCTTTGTGTGTCTGGCTGTCCAGATTACTCATATTGGCTCCCCACCATGACACAGGTTCTGCAAAGTGTTTCTTTAACAGCACAGTAGGAACAAGGCTCACAAGGAAATCTGGGG